TCATGGACCAATCGGCTTCCAGGTGTGCAGGTGTGCTCTTACTCCCGGTGACATCATCACGCTGTCCTGAGTCTTCAGTCGGCTCCTTCCTCTCCCTCCTCTTCCTCCGATGCCGCCGCCTCTGGACCTCCTCCTGCCCGGGAACCCGGAACCACGACCCTGAGGAGAGGAGACAGGCGGGGGGAGGAAGGAGGAGAATTAGGAGGAAATCCGTGATGTCACAAAGCTGTCACCATGGAAACACTGGTAAGATCAATTTCAGAGCTGTTCCCCGAACACCCCACACTCAATTTAGTCACGCCGGCGTTACTCCTCACGGCGGCGCCAGTATGGCCTCTGTGTTAGTCACTTGTATTTACACCCGCTGCTAAAGGTGCCGCCACTCGCACAGTACGGCCACATTAAAATGGCGGGAAAAAGCGACACAATCGTGTGTTAAAAGCAGCTGCAGCCGCCACGGCGTCCTTCTGAGGACGTCACGGAAAACAAACATGACAGAATGATCAGACCCGCAGGCGCGTTTGATTGGAGACCTTTGCAGCCCAGCAGGGTGGAAGCACACATTCGTTTCCCACACCCACAGCAGAGACAGCGTTAGTAAGCTGCTGTTAGTCACAGCCGGTGACAGTTAGGGTGCACTTTTTACCACTCTCATGCTCCAGAGCGGGGAGTCCTGCAGGCGGGGCTTAGGGTCCCACCCTCCCTCCCCCGTGGAATCCTGGGAGGACGAGAGGGGGCTGACCGCCCTGCGACTACTCCAACACGTGCCCTGAATGAGAGGGAGGAGGAGAAGAGAGGGGGAGGTGGGGACAAAATGCAGTAACATAAATGTAACGGCCACAAAATGAAAAAAGAACTCATGACGACACCATGTTACCGTGGCAACCACACACACTGACGGCAGCTGACGCGCTGATCGAACGACCTCGATGTACACAGAACAAACACGCCGCGATCAATGACACGTGTGTGAATGTGTGCACGTGTGTGTCAGGCACGCCCTGCCAGCTGACAGGTGAGGATGAGGATGAAGCACACTGATGGTAACCTGCTTCTCATCTCGCCCGTGGAGGTGCGAGCTGATGGAGGCAGGAATAAAAAGCAGCTCCTGCGTCGTCTAACTGGCTACAGGACTTGACTATAATGTGTCACTCAGTAGGAGGAGCTTGTTAGAGACGAGAGGTGCGAGGTTTGTTGAATTTCACCTCCAGCTTTTTCTTTTTAACAATCGATATGTAAGGAAACACACAGGTCAAAGGTCACCAACCTGTTTCACCCGGGCTCTGCCAGGAGAGAACTTCCTCTTAGAGATGGCAGGCTTCCCCATGCCGATTTTTGGGGTGAGGGAGAGCACGGTGGTGGGAGGAGCCTGAGGTTGCACACAGAACAAAAGGAGAAGTGAAGAGGAGCAAGAGTGAGCGAGGAAGAGGAGGAGGCTGTCACTTACCTTAGAGAGAGGTGGAGACTCTCTAGCTAGGGGGGAAGTCCTGAGAGAAGGCAAAGGTGGGGTGAGCGGCGGCGGCGTGATGGGCACTCTTGCAGGGGAGGTCTCTGGGGAGGCCTCAGTGGAGAAGGGGGACTGTCTGAGGCGGATGGAGAGGTCATCAGACAGCCGGGGGGAGCAGGGAGGAGGCCTCAGGGTGCGACCCTTCCCTCTGCGCAGGAGCGGCGATGAGGATGGCGAGGACAGGTGCAGGAGGGACGGGGGAGGCGATGATGTCATCAGCTCCATCACCTCTCTGTCTAAAGAGGGGTCCAAGTCCAGCACGGGGCTCACTGGCTCCTCCTCCATGTCTGAGTGCTCCTCAGTGATTGGCTGACCGCCTGACGGCTGAACTGTTTCAGAAAGATCCTCCTCCTCCTGTGAAGGCTCAGCTTGTGATTGGTGCTCATCTTCAGTGGGTTCTGTTACCAAAGCAACAGGTTCATATAGGGTCTGTGACTGACCCCCATCACACTCTGGTGTCATGTGACAAAGAGGCGATTGGTCCTTCAGCCCCACCGTAAGTCCAAAGTCACTGGGAAGCTTCTCCTGTGGGAGGCCCTCTACCATGGTGGGCTGGGAGTGACGATGGGGGGAGGCCTCCAGGGAGCCAGCTCCCACAGATGGAGGTGATGAGGGCAAAGGGGAGGACACAGGTTGATGCGTGGGTATGGGGGAGGCGGGGCACTGAGTCTCCTGGACTCCTGCAGAGACACAAACATGGACACATTAGATACTGATGCAGGTTCAGGATCTTCCTGAAGTCACAACGATGGAGGGGGCGGAGCAAGCCTGGGGAGAAGGGAAGTCACGGAAAAATGTAAACATTTAAGTTTGGATTGGTTATGTTTCCGTGTTTGCAAAGCAAACCTTTGAGACCGCTGGAGCTACTGGGCAGAACCTTCTGGTTTTGTTCCTCTCCTGCCTCGCTCCTCTCCACAGGCTCCTCTGCTAGGCTCTCCTGTGATGTGTGTTCAGGCTCCTCCTGCTGCTCCTCCTGCTGCTCCTCCTGCTGCTCCTCCTGCTGCTCCTCCTGCTGCTCCTCCTGCTGCTCCTCCTGCTGCTCTGTGCTCGGTGTGTCTGGGTGAACAAAAGGAGCAGATATCCTCAGAACAGATCGTGTGTTAATCGGGAACTTTGAGTCTCTCTCCCTCATACTTACCCATGGTGCCATCAGACATCCCTTCAGGTCCAGGACCTTGTTCTGGCTTCACGGGACTAGCAGGACCAGGACTTGGGCTGGTTATTGAGGGAGCAGTGTTAACTGGATCACAAGCAGGACTGGCTTCACAGTGGAACGGGCTGGCAGAAGCAGGTCTGACACCAGGCTCTGCCTGCACAGGACTCACGGGACCAGGCTCTGCCTGCACAGGACTCAGGGGGCCGGGACCAG